ACCTTGGCATCCACCTATGAGTCGTCACGGCGTCAATACTCAGGTCTCACATGCATGCTTAATTGAAGGTTAGGGCGGTTTAATTCTGAAAGTATGTTGATGAGATAGAGCAGAGATTGGCAAAAACAAATGAGTTTTAGGATAGTGACTAGCTACGGGCTGGACGACCGGGGTTCGACCGACGGGGGTAGAGGATTTTTCCTCTAGCCTCTGCGTCCAGACCGGCTCTGGGACCCACCCAGCCTCCTCTACAATGGGTACCGGGGTCCTCTTCCGGGGGTATAGCCGGCTGGGGCGTGATGCTGACCACTCACCCCCATCTAGTGCCGAGGTAAAGGAAGAGAGGAGCTATACCTCCTCTCACCCCAAACGCCTACATGGCGTATAGTGGGACAAACTTTACTTTACTGTAGATGTTGATCGACGTTTCAAAGGAGTTTACTGCCAACATATATCAGTAGGTCAGGTTTATTATTTTATTTAGTGTTCTGTCTGACGACAGGTCCATATGAATAGGATCCTTCCATCCTTTTCTCGGACTGGGACCTGTTCATATACGTTCTTGGCAGATGATCCAGAAGTGGTTTGCCATTGCCTTCTTCTGTGTGTGAATGGAGTAATTGTTGGGATGCCACGGAGGAAAACTCCGTGTTGCCTAGACCACGGCCTTGCCCAGTATCACTAAATGAGTTTTGGTTGTAAAACCTAATTGGACATAAACTTTGGAGATACTAAAACATATGTTAGAGAAATAGTTTGTATTTAAGCTGAATTTGATTGTTTGTTTCTTAGATTGTTTAAAGATTCCATTTCTGATTTGTAAGCTATGTGACGTCGAATAAAATAATCATTGATGATGACGAGGTAAGGAGGTGAAAGGAAACGTTGAGGGCATCTTTCAGAGTAGTTATTATTATTTAGTGTTCTGTCTGACGACAGGTCCATATGAACAGAATCCTTCCATCCTCTTCTCGGACTGGGACCTGTTCATATACGTTCTTGGCAGAGGATCCAGAAGTGATTTGCCATTGCCTTCTTCTGTGTGTGAATGGAGAAACCGGGGAAGCCCCCGGAGGAAAACTCCGTGTTGCCTAGACCACGGCCTTGCCCAACACAAGTTATAAATCCGCCCTTTTATGTAATGGACACAAACTTTTTTGGGGTGAGGGCAATCAAGAGGATATTTCAGTTCACACACTCATGTTTTTCTACAACTGAGGTGCTCTTATTATTTTGACATTTTCAAGGTGCCTGCAGTCAACTGTTCTTGGGGTGGAAATCTGCAAGACTTGAAGAAGCATCTCACAAATTCGCACAAAGAATGGACATACGAATACAAGGGAAAATTTATGACTGGCTTGGTAGACATCAAGCCTGCTCGAAGGTACTGCTACATCATATTCGCTTACGGTGAAATATTCTATCGATATTTCTCAGTAAAGAACGGTACTCTCTATGGAGTACTGCAATATATAGGCCCAAGGGAAAATTCAGCAAAATATCGATACAAGATGATTTTCGATAACAAAGACGATATGGGAAGTATATCGATATGCCATGTGACTCAAAGTTTTGTGGACAGTATGGACGATATTCGAGAAACTGGCAAATGTCTTAAATTGCATTTTGATGTTGTCAAGAATTTTGTGAACATGAAAAATAACTTAAAGTTTCAGATGGAAATATCCAAAAATGAACTGAATTAAAATGTAATTGCATGTTCAGTGTATCAAAACTGGATGCAGTGAACAATAGTGAATGTATGATAATAGATGTGTATCTATTATAGTAAACAATGAAAATATTGAGAAATTAAGGATGCATTATCGTCATATTTTATTTGCTTTCCAAACATTCCGAGTGACATATGTTCCCCCTCCCCCCCCCCCCCCCCCCAAGGTATGACGTTGGCGAAACGCACGGTTGGGTACCGACTACTGTACATTTGTTTTTAACTGTATACTTGTGTCGATGGTAAAACTTGGTGTGGTGTTTTTACAACAGCAAGTGTCCTGAAATTTTTTTATTTTAATTTTTAGTGTTCTGTCTGACGACAGGTACGTATGAACAGGATCCTTCCCTCCTTTTCTCGGACTGGGACCTGTTCATATACGTTCTTGGCGGATGATCCAGAAGTGGTTTGCCATTGCCTTCTTCTGTGTGTGAATGGAGTAATTGTTGGGATGCCACGGAGGAAAACTCCGTGTTGCCTAGACCACGGCCTTGCCCAGTATCACTAAATGAGTTTTGGTTGTAAAACCTAATTGGACATAAACTTTGGAGATACTAAAACATATGTTAGAGAAATAGTTTGTATTTAAGCTGAATTTGATTGTTTGTTTCTTAGATTGTTTAAAGATTCCATTTCTGATTTGTAAGCTATGTGACGTCGAATAAAATAATCATTGATGATGACGAGGTAAGGAGGTGAAAGGAAACGTTGAGGGCATCTTTCAGAGTAGTTATTATTATTTAGTGTTCTGTCTGACAACAGGTCCCTTGTTCTGCCCAAAAAGAGTTCTCAGCTTCTCGTTTTAACTCCTGAAACTTCATCTTCTTTCTTTCCTTGTTTAAGATCGTCAGTTAGCTTTCAGAGTAGTATCATAACATTTTACTGGACAGATCTTAGCCAGAATACTCTGTAGGCTTTTCAGAAATCGAACCGAATTCTTTTTGAAAACGTGTCCAGAAATTTACAGCTGTATCACCTCGTCAAGAACTGAGCTGGCTTACTGAAGATAGTGGCCAATGATCGGAATTTGTATTTAAGTTAGATATAAGCCATAGTTTAATGGAGTAGGGTTTTTAAGAAGTTGAGCTGGCCAAGAAATTCTGCGTCTTCGTGCAACCAGAATTTTTCTGAGGCTCTGTATGACATATATTGCAACATGCGATGGAATTTTCGGCCCCTGCCAATATCTAAGCCGTAGGACCACCCATTGTCATATTCTCAACTATCTTCCATATGTGGGACCTGCGATTACATAACCAGAAGGAATTAAGCAGTTCGATTTATATCGACTGTTATAAACAATATTTACAGTAACGCGTAATTGTGTTAACGAACTTGCTATAACAAATGGAACACAAACCACAGAAATAGATTAATCTGAATGCTGAGCTTGGGCGGCCACAGAACATATGCGCCTCGTGTAGGTGCAGAACACAAGTCTTACCACATCTTGTTCAAATATTGATTTAAAAAATGAAGCTTAAGGTTTGCATAACCTCACACTGGTAGAGTGAGACAAAGTGACTTAGACATGCAAGTTATAATTGTTGGTACGACTGCGTTAAAATTCAGTGCCAGGCGTGAGATTTTGATATTTTGTAATGTTTATCTGGGATTATTATAAAATTAGTTCGATATATCTGATCAGGATACAGACACGTGGATGTATTCATGTAAGAAATTATAATATTAAAAGGAATTTAAACAAATAAGTAGTTGGGATGTGAACTGAATTGAACTCTCGCTCTTATGATGAAGATGATAGAGATAATGGGTATCATAATGACAGATTTTCTCGAACAGATGAAAACTTTCAACGACTGAAACAAGATTCTGTTGTAGGGATGGCTGGTTTGTTGGTTGGTCGATCGGTTCATTGTTTGGTTGACTAGTCGGCAGTGGTACCGCATTTGGATTTTAATCGAAAAAACAATAATATTTTCTGTGATTTCTCTCTTACCTTAAAATTGGCCACGACGACAGCATTAGAAGGAATATATAAGGATCTGGAATTAGGAGCTGCTAAAGTAGGGTTACATGTTAATGAAAGGAAGATTAAATGGATGATACAAAGTAGAGATAGACAAAGAATAACGATCCAGCCTAACATACATTGGAGATATTCCAAGAAAGTACAAGAATTTAAATATCTTGGAACAATCCTGACAAGTAATAATGATGAGTTGACTGAAGTACAAAGTAGAATAACAGCAGCAAATAAAATATATTTTG